TTCATCTAGGGGCTCTTTCAAGACTTATAGGGCAAGCAAACCAGTAGATAATTTTCATCTCTCATTTGTTCATTTGTTCACAAAAACTTCAAAGCAGCTTACAAAAGGGTGCTAACTAAAGATCAAAGAAATAAAATGGAAAACAGGTAGGGGGTGCTTATCAAGCTATACATATTTTCCGCTGAGAGCCAGCAAGGGGGAGGGGGGGGGGGGTAACTCTGTGTTAAATTGTATGGGTTAACACCTTTCTGCCTCCAAACAGACAAAATCGGCTTTAACATGACACCATTGAGAGAATTGTCAGAGAAATGGTATGTGTTACTGGTAGCTTACAAATGACAAGAAAGACAAAATCCAGGCTGCTGCAAAAACACATTTTGCAACCCCCCACCCCCCCCCCCTTTTTTCTCTATAATTTCAGAAATCCATCACACATGAAAAATGGAAGAATGTCACAGAGTTCTTATAAATGTTTGCTTAAGAATACAAACGAGAGATGATTGGAAACGGGATGGATGCGCTTGGAAGATAGATGATGACATCTAGAGAGATTATTTATTGCTTTCAAAGTTTACACATCTGTGCGTATTTTCAGTAATTTGGCGATTCCTTTTTGGCCATGCACATCATCTCTTCACTTTCCTAGTTCTTTCTCTCCCCCCCCTCTCTCTCTCTCTCTTTCTCTCTTTCTCTCTCTTTCTAGCCCCCTCCCTTTTCTTTCTCTCTGTATCTCTGTCGGTCTGTCTCTGTCTCTCTGTTTACCCCCCTCTCTCTCTCTCTCTCTTTCACTCTCTATTTCTTGCCAACCTCCCTTTTCTTTCTCTCTGTATCTCTGTCTGTCTGTCTCTGTCTCTCTGTTTACCCCCTCTCTCTCTCTCTCTCTTTCACTCTCTATTTCTTGCCAACCTCCCTTTTCTTTCTCTCTGTATCTCTGTCTGTCTGTTTGTCTCTGTCTGTCTGTCTCTCTCTGTCTCTCTCTAGGTATCTTCCTCCCCTCCCCTCCCCTCCCCTCCCCTCCCCTCCCCTCCCCTCCCCTCCCCTCCCCTCCCCTCCCCTCCCCTCCCCTCCCCTCCCCTCCCCTCCCCTCCCCTCCCCTCCCCTCCCCTCCCCTCCCCTCCCCTCCCCTCCCCTCCCCTCCCCTCCCCTCCCCTCCCCTCCCCTCCCCTCCCCTCCCCTCCCCTCCCCTCCCCTCCCCTCCCCTCCCCCACTCCCCTCCCCTCTCCACCCAACATACCTTCAGGTGAAGTCTAAATGCAGAGATTCGGGAAAGCAATCAATGCCCAAAGGAAGGGGAGACTCGTCTTTAAAATGCCTCCACTCTCCTGAATCAATATCAATGTCAGGACCCTTGTCTCGTCCTGCACAACTCACTCTCTCTTCTCTCTTGTCTTCACATGAAATACATTTGTCAAGCAGAAGTACAACCAAGTTCAAATACAAAAAGAAAAATACCTCCAGAGCAGGGCCAAATGCGCGGCCAGTTTGGCCTCGCATTTGGCCTTTTGCGCGTTCACAGTGCGAGGCCAGGCCGCGGCCTGGCCCGGCCTTTTGCTCACTGTAACAGGGGTCATAGAAAGTCTTATGAGTCTGAATCATGACAAGCTAAGAAAACAGGACAAGGGGGATGGTCAAATAAATACACATACAATGTATATATGTAGCTTTTGAGACTACTATCTTTTTTCCAGCTTAAAGGTATTACAAAGTTTTGGTATGGGGTCATGAATTTGGTTCAAATTAACATATTGGAAGCATATGCGTTCCTACAATATTCATTGATCGTTGTCCCGGTTGAAATCGAGTCTAAAGTTATGAAATTATAAATAATAAACTTTTTATATTGTATAGCTCCCTCTTAAGGTCAAGATATCAATTTAGCTATAAAACAATGTTTCTTGACTAAAACCGACCAATTAGCTATTTCCGTTTGGAAAATATATATCACAACTACATATTCTGAGATTTTCATGGTCGCAGCTACCATTGTACGGCCATAGGCGCTATTTGAAATTTATCAACATTTACCGGGAGCACCGGTAAATTTTTATATTCAATTTTTCTCGAAAACAGAAGTGTTTTAGGGGTTACTTTTTTTAGTGCTTATAATACATCCACAGGGGCATCCAAATATATCAAAATTGTAAAGATTCACTATCCACCCAATCTTCAAAATTTCCCAAAACTTTGTATTACCTTTAAAATGTAATAATTTTTCCGACTGAGGATTCACCCTTCATATGCCACCCTTCCAACATGATTTCATTTTAAAACCACCACAATGCATAATGCTTCAACCAAATTCAATAACGCGCAGCCAAACAGACCTACAAACCAAACATTACGGTTCCATCATTAAATTGGCTTCATTATTGCAAATAAAAATCTTTTGTTTTCTTTACTCCCACGCTCACAAAGACTTTGAGGCAAAGAATTCCGCTCCACCAAAATGCCCCCTGGCATTGCGACTGTGAGAAATTAATTCCATTATTTATGAACACCCAGTGTAAAAAAAACTATACATATTTTCATCTCTTATTTTGGTTCCTTTTTGGGTTCGATCAGACAAAGAGGGTAATAACATCGTGAAATAAATATTTATTTCTAATTTTTCTCCCAAAAGAAATTTCTTATAAATGAAGCTCTTGCGCACAATAATGCAGTATTCCAATTCTTTCATAATAAATTGTTTACTTAAAAGAGGAGAGCTTTAACTGTTATTCTATGCAATATGCATGTAACAATAGCTGGCAAATTCTCTCTTGGTATTCATTACTTATTTTTAGAAAAATGTTTGCCTAAATGCCAAAGAAAAATGCTCTAAAACTAAGTGTAGATTAGTCATCACCTCTATGTTGTTCCAACATTATAAGCTACATACATGAAGTTTATTATGTACCTACTGCTGCAAACAACCCAAAAATAACCACAATGCAAACTTAGGCCAAGTGAAATTGATACCTAGTTTCTCTGAATTTTTTCGAAAATGAAGAGAAGGGAGTTTGAATTTTTTGATAGTTGATATTTTTCCTGTGCATAAAAATTACCTCTGGACTAGATTTAACACAAATTTCATTAGATGTATTTAATTTGTATGGGCAGTTTATGGGACTCAAACAAGATGGAAATTCATTGTATTACTAGTTCTAACTGTCTAGATGTGCACCATCTCCACTCCCTGGGGAGTATTCCTACCATATGGTAATAATGAGGGCATAAGGCAATTACTAACAAAAAGGCTTTCATCATCCTACCAGGTCCCCATTTCTGTCCTGGGTATGGAGTGGCAAATGCAGATTAATGCCTTGCCATAGGACATTAGTGCTGTGTTGGGGATTGAACCCATGACCTTTGCATTTCAAGTCAAGTGCTTTAAACCACTCGACTACGAAACCTCCACACAATAAACATCTTCTCTCTGACATCAGCATTTCAAGTAACATCTTTATAAGTGCATGCAAGCAGTGGGCTGGGGGGGGGGGGGGGTTAATCATCGCTCTGAAAACCCCCTTCCCCCATGCACAAAGGCTATGTATGGTGTAGTGGAACAAGCAAATGAAATTTGATTAGGCTTTGTCTTTGCAGACCTGCCTCATATATCCTCACCATGACTCATCTATTCAAACGGAATATTGGCTGATGTGATGGGTAAGAAAATGATATTAAAATAAGCTGTTTGTTTGCCATAAGCCCAGGGGCTGCACAGGTTGCTTCGTTAAACTAGGGCTGCACATGCTATATTTGAAGAAAAATGCCTCACTTTTCTCTCTCCATTTTAAAAGGGTCTATTATTATCTTTTCTGTGCATGATATTATTTATATCTGGGAAAAGGCCTCATTTTTGTTTCTCTCTCTCTCTCTCTCTCTCTCTCTCTCTCTCTCTCTCTCTCTATCTTTCATTCATATGCCTATAAGTACATTTTCTTTTAGGGCTAATTATCATATCTTTGAGGGGAGAAACAAAAACCTTACTTTTCCTCTCCATTTCATACGGGGACTATAAATAAATCACCTTTGGAGGGCTTGAAAAGAATTATCATATCCATTAAAAAAAAGACTCATTTTCGATCTTTCACTATTTCATGTAGGGTTTAGGAGTTATCTTTTTAGGGCTTCTCCAGTTCAAACAGGGTCTGTCAAAAATGATTTTCTCTGCTCTTGTGTTTTTATATTTCTCAAGGAGAAGAGCATCACTGAAATGCTTTTTAAAATTACAATAGGCCTGCTTTCATCAGCTCGAGATTGTCAAATAACCCGCTATTTCAGATTCGGGATATTGGCGCATGTGCACTTCAGAGACCGACTGTACGACCAGCGCGCTGATTGAAGATTTTACCCACGCTGTAAAATATGTGTACAAGTACAGCAATCGACGGCAGACTGCATGTGCAGTTTATTTACAAACATGGAAAACTGGAAATCATTGAGCATGGTGGGATTGAGAAGTTGACTCTGAACTTCAGTCTAATGAAGACGGGCGCAAATTATCCCGCTTTTTCCTAAATAGCGGCATGTTTTGGAGACAAGACCAAGATTTCTCAGGATATTTTCTCGACCAAATATCCCGCTAATTGCAACTGCCGGCTGATGAAGACGCAAATTAACTGGCTAATTTGCGATCGGGATAGTTAAAATAGCGGGTTATTTTATAGCAAACTCGAGCTGATGATGACAGGCCTACTATCGGTCTGACATTGTAAAGAATGTCCTTGGGAGAGATTAAAATCTTTTTTTTCTTTGACTTTGCCAAGATTCTTCGGGATGAATGATCCGACTCCCAATCACCTTGTGGGGTAGTTTACAAGAGATAATTGGAAAGATTATATCAACTGATATGATACGAGTTGATAAATAAACAAATAAATAAATAAAACGATTAAAAAGAAAAGGAAACAAACAATAACTCACCTTAGAAAAGATTGTATCAACTGATAGGATTTGAGTTGATAAATAAAAAAATCAATCAATCAATCAATTAAAAATAAAAGGAACCAATAACTCACCTTGAACAAGGTATGATGCTAGTAATGTGCCGATGTCAAATGAACAGGTCAATCTGGAAAATGGAGAAAAGAAAATTGTGGATTTCGTGAAAATTTGGAATAATACATGTATGGCAAAATTATTCCTAATGCATGCATCAGGGTCAGGTTTAGGGTTAGGGTTAGGGATATGGTGAAAAATGGCTTTGGTTCTGATGGGTCCAAGATTGATTTAGGAATTCAACAAGTGTTGATATTGAAAAAAATGACTTAAGAAATGATTGCCAGAGCTACTGGACCACATTTTGTATACCGGTAACAATAAGAATAGATAGTGCTCCTCTCACTCACACACCGCGTTCAGACTAACAGAATTCATGGTATAGATGTATAGAATCATATGAAGCTATGCAATAAGTATGCCATTTTTTCCTGGTCTGAACGTCGAATAATGAAAGGACTTTAGCAAAACGCTTGTTTGAACGTGGTATCGTACGCAAATTGTATAACTGGGAGTGGCTTATCGTTAACGCGCACTGATGATTGCCGAACTGTCAGGGCACAGCGCAATTGACCTCTTCAGAAGTAGGTTTTTTTACTTGCATTTCTTTATACAATGTTCTATACTAGTCTGTGCATTCCTTTTGCTAATACAGTACTTCTTGACATAAATGATGTTTCTTCAGGCATGTTACGCATAAAATCCCTTGAGTCTGAACAGGGCCACAGACTATAAACGGACAAATTATCCAGGATGGTAAACACAGTGTAACCTTACTATGGTTTCTTTAGCCCATTCATTGTACACAAGTTTGAAGGTTCACCTCCGATGGTTATCTACAATGAAGGCCACGAAAGCCTAATAAATGCAATAAAGTGTAACTATTTGATTTGGGAATGAATTTCTTGAATCTGTGTTCTTGCTTTTCTTTTCTATGGACATCTAGACAATGTTTGCAGTATTAACATAGCAAGCCCCAAGTTTCTCTATTTTGATTGGATATACATGTTCATGTGAATCGGTAGTAAAGAATGTATCTTGGAAATCAAGCATATCTTTACTCCATACCCTTAGAGCATGGACCTACACGACTCTTGTTGATCCATACATGTATATAGATATATTGTATACATGTGATGATGGAGCAAGGATAGTAGCAGTAGCATTCATATGTTACCTCCCCCCCCCCCCCCCCCCTACTTCAAACAAAGAACACCATAAAATGCATCAAAATATAGCCCTGTATAGGGCTTTAATGAGAAATTTTCTAAAATATTTTTAATGGGGGTGTCCCCCGCCCCTCTAGCAATGCCTCATCTGGCTGGCTGCATCCAAATTGTACTCAAATATTTACATATTCTCAGTTTGGAAGCCAGAAGGGCATTAGCTCATATCTTTAACACAAAAATGACAGAATAAATGCCCTTCTGGCTCTAAACAGACGTCATGACACTACTATGTACATGTAGCTATGCCAGCAAATAGAGAACATTCTGGTGCTGAAGGCCATTGAGACTACAAATAGTTTGCCAAGATAGAAGGACATTAACTCATCATCTTCAAGGCAGAGTTAACATCCTTCTGGCTCTCAAAAGCTCTCAAAAGGCCTGTCTTCATCAGATCAGCCCGCAGTTGCAATTAGCGACAAATCATGGTCCTGTTTCCAAAATGCCTGCTATTTGGGAAATAGCGGGCAAATTTGCACCCGTCTTCATCTAGTTTGTGATGAGCGTATCGGTCTGGTGAAGACGCAATTTTGAGCTACAGGAAATAACCCGAGTCTGAAAATAGTAGGTTATTTCGCAATTTCGGTCTTATGAAGACAGTCCTGAGATGTTCTCATCAGCTCAAGGTCTGGGAATCCCTTGGTAGGATTATAAACTGAAAGTGTATCTCCTCTCATGAATCCCTGTTCTACTTTTTGTTCAGATTGCTTCCTTTTTAAAAAGGAAGATAGTTTGAGCTTCCCTAGTAAGCTGGAGTTGGACATATAGAAGGTTACCTGGCATACTCACACCAGTTACCCTCCATAAGAGCCTATATTTCGTTCCTATTTTTATGAAGTGACGGTAGTGAGGAAAATCCAAACGCAAATTGTATGCGATTTTCATTCACTACCGTCACTTCGTGAAAATAGGGACGATTTTACATGAGGACAATTAAAGTGAACCACAAGAATCCTGTCTATAACGTCCAACAAAAACAGAAAAAAGTGGCCACCATGGACAGTTAGCCTTTCTAAACATGTTATAGCACACCTGTAGGAAGATTTGAATTTGGAGTCTAATGTCTCAGTCACACCTTTGCATATTTGGCTTGCGTATTGCAGCGTTCTTATGGCAAGCCGTTTTAACATTTATTCCCATTTCTTGATACCAAAAAATGATTTTCTGTTGTAAAGCAATGGTAATTCTTGACATCAAGAATTTGTTTTCTTGATATAAAGAATTTATTTCTTGATATCAAGAAATAGAAATAAATGTTAAAACGGCTTGCCATAAATATGCAGCAACATGCAAAGGTGTAACTAAGGCATTACACAGAATTATATTGCTTGTACGATCATCGATGCGAAAATGAGAATTAAAAAAAAAACAGCAGTGTGAAGCTATATAATGTGCTGATCTCCATGCTTTCAGAACAATTCATTCTCAAGTATAACCATTGACTATAATATATCTTTGTAACTACTTCATGTTTATTCAACTCTTCATTATTTGATTCAAGTTGATTGATATCTATATACATGTATGATATCTATCCTCTCACCTCATTTCCAAATAATCTGAATAAGAATCTAGGAATCACTTTCACTTTGCCTATGGATTATTTGGCTGGGAAAGTCATTGAGAATCCCCATATCAAAATAAGAATAGTAAATATGAAATCATACATTGCATAAAGGCACCATCTATAGACAGACAGAAACAATCTCACAGACATGGTTAATGTTGATTTTTAAAAATTGTTTGACTTGTCCCTTTAAGTAAACCATAAACTGAAATATGTCATCTTGCACAATAAATATCACAAAGAAACACTAGCCGCAGATTTGTAATGTACCCTAATCCGATTATCTCTTTCAATTTCATCTTTGAGTAGTCTTTAGCAAACAGTCCCCAAGCTTCTGTAATATTGCAAATGATTACATTATTGTGTTTTTTTCCCTACGAGGGGATATAATTTTGCCTGAAATTAAACAAATGTCATCATATTACTGAGATAATATATCTTTTTTCTATTCTCTTGATTAGTGACCAATTTTACAAGCTTATATATCACACTGATTCCAAAACATTTCATAATCAGATATTAAGTACTTTGAGAAAGGGAGATGTGAGAAACTAGATGTCTCCTATCAACCATAACATTGTTTGCTCAAATTAAGTTTAGCTTAAAGATAAACTTGAGTTCTGGTAAAAAAAGAAAATGAATTCTCACAGAATCTAACAAAACTTACACTGAATGTTCAAGATTACAAATAAATGTCATGTGCCAAACAATTTTGGAAGAAAATGTATACTGGCTGAGTAATGAGCATAGAAAGATAAGGAAATCAGGGTAGTACTAGCCCCGACACCATGTGTGTTGTCCCATATACATCTTTCTGTGTAAGTGATTGTTACTTTACCAAGACTCTGCCAAATTTATGATGATTTTGATGACTCCAGAACCTTGCATTACACACCATTACTTGAATGCTATATGATCAACTTTTCTGATCCATTCCACACCTTTTCTTTCACAATGCAATCGCATTACCAGTACTCAAGTTTATCTTTAAAAAGCACAGCCGACTATGTTTAGAAGTACTCCAGCTTCATGGTAAATGAATATTAAAGACCTAAAGTTTATGTAATATTATATAAATGTGATGTCCATGTAACGCTGGTAAAAAAAGAAATGCATGTCAAGCAAAGATTTTGAAGAAAGGCAACTGATACAGGAAAGATTTTGGCAGGGCACTACTATATATATTCACTGCAAACAAATCGTCAACAGATGATTTCATCTTATATGTATTGAAAGAAAAAGAAGAAGATATCATACCAACAATACGTTGGACATGATCATATTTTGTGCCCCAACTTCATGACCCTGATAAATGATAATAATGATATATAAATATAGGCATGTAAGGTACATAGACTATGGCTGATGAGGTATGACAAGTGTCCACGAAGCTGGCATGCTAACCCACAAAAATAGTTGTGGTAATGATGGGATGTTCTGAATGGTTGTGTGGTTACATTTATACACAGATAAAGGATTTCACAAGGAGGAAGAATAGTTATGTGGTTACTATTATAAACAGATATATAGGATCCTAATGAGGAAGACATATCTACCACAAAAGGAAGTAGGAAGGAGGATTAAGCATGCTTAGGGCACGTTCATGCTTGATTTTGACGGCCAGAATCAGGCATCTGTTACGCGTTTAGTTTAAAACACGCTTGCGTTCATGCTCACTTTTGTAGAATCACCGAAAAACGGCGATCATGATCGCCGATCGTAAACTCACAAAAAGATGCGTTTACAATTTGTAAACGCGTTTAAATGGGGTCAACGCACTGACCTCTAGTGGGTCTACGTAGCATGCGCACTCAGGTTTGCGAATCCAGCTGAAGGCCACCCAAGGAGATTGCCTGGAGAAGTAAGCATGAACACTACATCGTGGAACTGCGATCACGATGAGCGTTTACGATGAGCGTTTCAGATCGCTCATTCTGCCTTCAAAATTTAAGCATGAACGCAGCCTTAAGCCAAGCTACATGTAGCTTGTAAAGGAATAGCTAGAATAATCATTTACACACAAAAAGAAACTCAAATAGTAGAATATATTTTTCATGTTTCTTTGTTGTCTTTAATCAGGCTTTTTGTCCATATTCATTGGGCTTACATGTATATTGAGGGAATATTTCCATTTTATCTTGATTCTGAAAAATAAGAACTTTAATGATGAAAATATTTCTAACATAGTCCTACCTAGAAAACAATTAATGGATAGCCCATTCATTATAAACATGTGTTGTAAACTTAACACTTAAGTGAACTTCCAAGAACTTTGTCTGA